ACCCCATTTTTGGGGTCCCAGCCCTCAAGGACCCCCCTCACTTTTTGGGGGGCTCCACCCTGGGGTGACGGGAACCGACGCGTTGGGGTCGATTTGGGGTCTGTTTCCCGGGGTCGTTCTGGGAAGTTTTTGGGGTGTTTTGAGGGTGTTTCGGGGTATTTTGGAGTGTTTTGGGGCGTATTCGGGGTGTTTTCAGGGCGTTTTGGGGCGTTTTCGGGGCATCTTGGGTTGTTTTTGGGTGGTTTTATGGTGTTTTCAGGGCGTTTTGGGGTGTTTCGAGGTGGTTTTGGAGCGTTTTGGGGGTGTTTCGGGGTGTTTTGGGGGTGTTTCGGGGCGTTTTCGGGGGGTTTTGGGGGGGAGAGTGTTTTGGGGTTATTTCGGGGTGTTTTTGGGGTGTTTCAGGGTGTTTTCAGGGCGTTTTGGGGTATTTTGGAGGCGTTTTGGGGTGTTTTGGGGGCGTTTTCGGGGTGTTTCGGGGCGTTTTCGGGTGTTTCGGGGTGTTTTCATGGCGTTTTGGGGTGTTTTCAGGGGGGGGGGGAGGTGTTTCGGGGTGTTTTCGGGGTGTTTGGGGGCATTTTCGGGGTGTTTCGGGGCGTTTTTAGAGTGTTTTGGGGTTATTTCGGGGTGTTTTTGGGGTGTTTCAGGGTGTTTTCAGGGCGTTTTGGGGCGTTTTCGGGGTGTTTGGGGGTGGTTTTGGGGTGTTTCAGGATGTTTTTGGAGTGTTTTGGGGTGTTTCAGGGTGTTTTGGGATGTTTTGGGATGTTTTGGGGTGTTTTTGGGTGTTTTCAGGGTGTTTTGGGGTGTTTTGGGCTGTTTTGGGGGCGTTTCGGGGGTGTTTTTTTGGTGTTTCGGGGTGTTTTGGGGGTGTTTCGGGGCGTTTTTGGGGTGTTTTGGGGGGGTTTTGTTTTGGGGGTGTTTCGGGGCGTTTTTGGAGTGTTTTGGGGTGGTTTTGGGTGTTTCAGGGTGCTTTTGGGGTGTTTTCGGGGTGTTTTGCAGTGTTTCAGGGTGTTTTGGGTCGTTTTCGGGGTGTTTTGGGGCGTCTTTGGGGTGTTTCGGGGGCGTTTTGGGGTGTTTC